CTCGACCCACCGGCATGACGACCGATACATGTAGGAGCGCACGGTGTAAAGCCAACTCGGCCCACTGGAGGACCGAATCATGGATATATGATCGACCCGTTGGGTGTCGACTCGCGAGAAGTCGACCCATGAGGTGTCGACCCGTGAAAGATTGACTTGTGAGAAGGGGTCGAACGCCAACTCGAGTTCGACCCTTAGTAATGGCGATTACTACGCGACCGTACAATTAAACACTATATATACGATAAATTCTAGAGGAGAAGGTAAGACTTCACTTAATATCCTACTACAACATTTATTACGAAGAATTCTCTTTAAATCCGAGATCCTAACTTGGGCGTCGGAGGGCTTGCGCCGGAGAAATTCCGCGCGCTTTCAGGTACCGGAGAACGCTCAAGCTCGGACCGAACCGAATCAAGTGAACCAACGTCGTAACCGGGAAGAACCTTCCGCAAGACCGAAGCCACCGATCTCGGACCATATCAGTGATAAAATTAATTTCGAGAGAAATAGCATAAAACTTACAAAATTGAGGTGACGCTGCTTCTCTCACGGTTCGATGGTCACGGCGTTTATCTCCTCTCAAAAATTCCTCACGCACGGCTGGATGAAGGACAACTCGCTGTTCAACCGAACGGGGTGACAGGGGGTTCGCACGATCGAGCTATGGAGATGGTGAAGTCGCTGCTGGTCGCCTTCCTCTCTATCACGCGTGGTAGGCAGGAACTTCGTTTTGTTTAGAAATTAATTATGATTAGGGCTGGGGTATTCTTATTATTAAATTACTAATATTTAATTACAAAATTAGTTTGACAAAATAAGGATAATTTATGCAAAACAATTTTTTACAGATTTATTGGCTCTTTTAATATAGTATAGATAGATAGATATAGATATAACGAATGTCATAAAAAAAGAAAAATAGATCTAAAATGATGACAAAAAAAATTATATTTAATATTGTTCGTTCTGATTTCATTGTAATAATATTTTGTTAATAATTACATGAGTAAAAAAAAAAAATATGAACTCAACAAACTCAGCAATAAAATATGAATTCATAAATATCATGAATTTCTTTTACATGGTTGAATTCAATAAATTATACCTTATTAATATTTAGAAAATTCTTGTATGAAATCTAGTGGAGCAAATAATTCATGGAGATGCTTGGATACCTGATTCAGGGGTGGTGCGATTTTTAAAAGAGGGAGTTGTGTTCCCTTTTCTTTTTGGGAGATGCCTGGTGAGGAGATGTCTGGTAGGACGTTCGACCCTTTCTTCCTCAGTTTTTATTTTTTAATTTATTTATCTATTGAAAATAATAAATAACACATGTGTATTCTATTTTAATACATGCTTACGCCACATAGGAGCCACGTAGGCGGATTGTTCCATAAGAAAAACAATCGGATGGCTTCATAGAAAAATCGGGACTAGGGATCCATCTCTGGCTCCACGTCATCATTATTTATAGTTTAAAACAGATCGGCAAAAAGTATATACAACAGAGAGTATTCAAGCTTCTGTATAAAAGCTTCAGCTCATAGCTTAATTTGAAGTAGTCACAAAAGTTTGATATCGATAGCATAGCAACATAGGTTGGTGAGCTCATGCCTAGGATGCCAACTCATCAACAATAACTCGACTAGTCTATGTAATTCCCAACACCAACACACTCTACTTAATTGTACAGAGTTTGGTTTAGGCAAAATAGACCTTTTACCATATTGCTAAAACATCACGACTTTTGGACTTTGGCGGAGAATATCACAATCTTTGATTTCCGACTTCAAATTAAGGTGTAAAAGGTCATGACCGCATTGAGTAGAAGCGCCTGTGGGCCACCATGGGAGAGGACGGGCGAGTAAACGATCTACTTCTCAGTGTTTGTGTGTCTTGACCAGCTTTCTGCTCCAATAACGGCAAGCTGTCCTTCTCATGTTGTAAAAGTATTTCTTGCACAGCTTCATCAACTGGGTTGTGGTTGGCGGTCTCTATATCATCATCTTCTGCTGGAATTGGAAATCTCCAGTCTCCATACCAACAAGCAACCAAACAGTAGATAATCAGGTTTAAGGAGCTCAAGACAACCAGCATCAAGTAATACTTGTCCAGTCTGCTTGAGTACACATCCTCTCCGAACCATCTCCACAGTAGGGTTAAAATGTAGATACATATGGCAGTCAGGAATTTGCCTATGCCCAATACGCATTCCTCAAAGGCCGGCCCGTACCTGCACAGGCAGCCATAATTTTTCTAAGTAATCATTTTACAGAACTATAATGTTAAGTGCTCTAAACTAAGTAATGTTTGATACGGCAGTGTAATTCACAATAAGAATAGCACGCCTCAAATTACCTGACTGTCAACTCGGGAACTTGCGTGATAAAGAAGTTGTCAAGCCCCTCGATTGAGAGTCCTTCCATCACTCCCAACAATACATACTGCGGAACGAGTCTAGAAACAGTCATACTATCTACTAAACGCCAGTGACGAGCGTTAATCCAAGCGGCCACACAGCATGCCACGCAGCAGCCCATACCCATACCCATCCGCACGAGTATCATCCTTTGCTCCACCTTCATTTTCCTCCCGAGCTCCTCAAGGGCCCAGCCGCACGCGAACGTGACCACAAAACTCGATAATCTCTGCCAAAATATGAATGTAAGAAAGTTGAAATCTTCATCGATTGAGGCTGCCTCTTCGAGGAAGAAAGTACTCCCGGTGGCGGACACGGTGCTAAAAGTGAGAAAGGTCATCCAAATGGGTAGCATCTTCAGCAATGATTTCGCTCCTAGAACTTGCTCCACAGTGCAAATGTGGCCAGGTTTCTCCTGATCCTGTGGCATCACTACCGCTGCTTTATCTAAACACCTGGGAAAATTAAGGGATAAGCAACACTCTGTAAGAGACCGTCCTTATATGGGACCAACGTCACGTGCCATTTATTAGTTACATCAAAGACACGTATCAATCAATACATCATCTCCTGTTAACACCAAAATATGTTCCGACCAATAATTATATATATAGATAAGTCTTCATGTCTGGACAAATAAAATATAAACAATTAGACCATTTTATTTCCCGTACCAAGAATATTCATGCACAATAATGTCATTTTGGTCTCACCACAAGTAAAGTAGCACATACCTCAACCACGAAACATGAGGCGGAATCTTCACGTGGCCACTAGAATTTTGGAATAGCTGATTCGGAGTCCGTGGATACTCAACATTTCTCTTAGTCACAGCTGCTATGTACATGACGTGCGCGGCATCTCTCAGGGGGCTACCCGTTGCTTCGTCAAATGAGTAAAACTTGGTGCCGAGCAAGAACCAAAACAGCGCAGACCCCATGATTATTGCTGATACCAATGAGCGCGTCCCAAACGGATTTATCCTTGAAAGCCCAAAAGCAGCAGAAGCGGCAGCCAACAAAGTGATGCATTTCCACCACACTATGCTTGTCCAGTGTTGTGTTTCAGCAGTTGACTGACCAGCTGCAGACATGACCTGATCATCAAAGAAGGGCCTTAGGGTCACCACTATACCCGCTTGCGACAAAGTTACCAGCACCAGCGGACCGTAGAAACTGACTACGTTTTCCACTTGAAATAGCGATAATCCCTGTGCGTGCATCAATCCAATAGTTATAACCTTTTTTTTGTTTTTTTTTTTTTACTTATTTTAGCATTCTCGCCAACTTTAGCATTGAAAAATCATTGTTGCCCAGTGTTTGATAAAACTTTTTTATGCATGAATATTTAGTTCCTAAAATGGTTCTCTATACAACGGATTTATGGAAGTTATATCATTTGAAGGGGCATCAAATATCTCGTTTGTGGGACACATAGAACTCTAAACGAAGTTTAGTGTTTTGTATAGGGGTGAGGACAACTAACATTATGCACAATGTCTATGTGTTGTCTCACGTGCGCCCACCATCCCGGCTCAGCTAAATTCAACAGTACCTTGCTCCCAATTGACGGTCAGAGTCAATTGGGGATGGGGCAATCTAGTTTCTGATTTTCTTGCATGTAAATCACAATTAGAAACATCAACAGAAAATTACCAATGATAGATATTTTGGACTGACAGTTGCTAATAGATTTGTCAGTAAGTGATGATTGTAGGAATATAATTTAATATGTAACGAATAAATCTATGTTAGCTAGTAATCGTTCAACATCAACCATAGATGATGGTTAGCAAGCATTCGTTGAACATCAACCATAAATCAATGATGGTCAACTTGGAATGCACCAAAAAAGATCAACACACAAACTTTGTCGAACCAAATAGGATATACTTCAAACTATATGACATTTTGAAAATAAAAGGAGTCGATTATAGCCCAAAAGGATGCTAGTGAAAAACACCGTAGTAGTTCCTGTCTCCTGATGAGTAGGGTGTTAAAAAGGAGTTTTCCTTTACCCCTTAATAATAATGTTAAATAAAAAGATGGTGTTCGTTAAATTTTGGAGATGTTTATCCCATATTACATTTTGGTTATCGTATTTATACTCCGTCAGGTATACATGATATTCTAGATGTCGGAGTCAATCAATAATATTTAACCTTAAAAGTATAGAACAGTTTACTAGAATGAAGTGTTGGGTGTAAGAAAAGAGAGAGAGAGAGAGAGAGCGGACCAGAGCAGAGATGGCGGCGGAGCAGAGGAGCATTTTGTAGGGGCCCGTCCATACATCTGACAACAATATGAAAACAATATGAGCAACAGCAAGAGTTCCTTCTTGAACATTCACAACTATGGCGGCTTTCCATAGGCTGTATTCATTCCACTCAGCTGTGAGATGAGTGATCAATATGCTCAAAACTGCCGCATCCACTAAGCTGTGAGCAAATACGAGGCCTGCAACAAACACACACTACATGAATTTTAGCTGTTGATTAATGATCAACTGTTGAACTTTGTTAACCTAATGTGAATAACATGGCCCTGGAGAAGACGACTTGGAGACGACCAATAACCACCTTCATCTTGCCTTATTCCAAATTGAGAACCCAACAAAAATTAAAATATTTGACTACAAAACTCAGTTGCAATGAAAGAGAGATCAGATACTCTTTTTTCTATTTTTTCTATTTTTACTATTATCTTGAAAATTACACAATGGCGACTTTCTCATTTTTGTTGTGGGGTTTCAGTTAAGTTCTAGCCACACCATATTTTGTTTTACTAAAATATTTGTGGTAAAAAAAATGTTCTAGTCACTTTTTAGTATTTTTTTTTCCAAGCGATAGATGAACTCCATCTCCATTCAACCAAAGGAGAGTAAATGTTCGATACAAGCCGGATACACAACCGAAAAAAGAAACACAATGGGAGAGCCACTCACATGGAAGTAGTCTAAATACACAAACCAAACAAACGATCTCTAGGCAGAGACATACCCCCGAGACCTAAAGTCGTGAAGCCACCAAAGGCAAAAGACAAAAACAACTCTTAACCCAACAGAAACAAAGACACAAGATCGTGAATAAAACTAACAAATAACGAACAATTTAACTAACCACCGGGGCCTTGCAACCTGCAAATCCTTGTCATTCCTTCCATGATCATCTAACTAGCACATCTTCCGGCATCCATACATTCTCAAACAACCAAAGGTTCTGGGATCGACATAGCCACCAAAGAATATATGTAGTTAGCTCTATGTGATCCTCAGCTGTAACATCCCACTTTCTTACTACTATCAGAGTAAAATTTTCGCAAACATTATTTCGAAAAATACTTATAATTTTCAAAATCATTGAACTTGACTCGGGATGCTACTATAAAACCCACTTCTGCTGAAAACTCGTTTTCTTTAAAATAGGGTCTAACTACTAGTTTAGACTTAAAGAAAATAAAATACTGATTTTTAATCAAACCAACATGCAGTACTGGACCCTGATCACACTAGGGAATCGGGTAAAATCTAAAACTCTGAAAATACTAAGCATGCAAGTTCGAAAACTAAACTCTGAAAAGTAAGCGAAAGTAAATACTCGTGGCGTAATGAAATATACAGGCTGAAGTATATAAAAATCCCACAACTGATCTCACGCCTTCCTGCCAACCCTGTTATCTGAAAAAGATAAAGTAGTGGGGAGTGAGCACGAAAGTGCACTGTGCTCCGCAGAAACCTGTAAGTTCTGAAGATTGACAGTAAATCGAAAAACCTTCATGAGTTCCCAAGTTCAGACAAACGCAAGAAATATTTAAGGGAAGTTGACTTGATCACTTGAACGTATTTTTAGTTGGGTGATCAGTGAGAAAACTTGTACTATTTTGTGGTTTAATTTATATATTCGAGTATTTGATTTTAGTGTATTAATCAAGTATTCTCACATATTTTATTTTATGAACGGACGTACACCAATGTTTGGATTTTTTTGTCTATTTTGCAGATATTACGCATATTAATGATGTGGCGGCTTATGTGGATCTGATGTGGAATTAATTGGGACATGTTGCTGACTTGAGCAAGAAGAATTAATTAAGGAGAATTTCATTTTGAGTGGACTCTCAATTTTGGACCGATTGGTGCGGGGAATGAGATGGTGATTGGATGAATTTTAATTCATGATTTTGGTGGTGAGAAGTTGTAATCAAGGGGACTCTTAGTTTTGCTTACGGGGGACATTATTTTTGGACGAAAAAGAGAGTACTGGGAGATACGGTGAACAGAGAGGAGAAGAAAGGCTATTTTGCTGCGGAGAATTCATTTTTCGGCCGTACTTAAAGGAGTTTGGTTTATTTAGTTTATTTGCTTTTCTTATTTTTGATTGGAGAACATGGATATTATTAGTATTTGCTTTTATCATTTAGCTATGAGTAGCTAAATATTTATTCGGTTCTAGGGACGTCGAACTCTCGGTGACTATGTTTGATTAATGCAATTTTATTTTGTTTTACTCGTCGTATAAAATTGATTGTGTTATTCTAGTTTCATGTCATAATATGTGTTCTTTAATTTAGCTTGATCACCTAAGTTGAGGTTTGCATGTAAATTGCTAGATTTAAGACTTCGATCCGTGTAATTGTCGTAGTTTTTATTTCGCTTGTAGTAACTAACAGTCGTGCATTGTTAGGGATAACACAACATAAGTTACATGAACCGAGCTTGTGTGTTTGTGGCTTAGATCGGTCTATTTTCCTAGATTCTAATGCAACTAGTGGATTAAATTAGGAGAGCTTATTCTGATTTATTCGCTAGTTAGAATTAATTGAAGAGCCTATTTCGATTAAGTATAATTAAGGGAAAATTCGGGTAGTAGAGATTATTGCTATCTAGGACCGGTAGTTTTAAAAGACGAGTGAAACTTGATAAATGCATTAATTGGACTAGTCAATTGAGAGTGTAGACCGACCTGGAATCGATTTCATTCTCATATTCATTAGATTATTTGTTATTCCCGATTTCATCATCTTTGCACTTTAATCATTTATTTCTAGTTCTAGTTTATTTTCTTGTTTTGCTAGTAGTTTAGAATTAAATCAAAATCCCCCCTCCCTTTTTATTTTTATCTAATTAATATAATAAAATCACGCTTTATACCACACTCCCTGTGGGATCGACCCTTGCTCGCCACTACTACATGTTAGTAGGGGTAAGTTGAGGAAATTTTATAAATATAAATTTACCGCGAGATGACGCGCGGTAAAATTTTGGCGCTGTTGCCGGGGGGTGGCGCGAGATAAATAGTGATTTTATTTGTGTTAGTTAGTATTTTTTTTTTTTTTGTGATTTTTCATTTTTAAGTTGAATTTTTCTTGAAAATTTTTGCTGCTTTTCTGTTATCGCCCCCGGTAATAACAGAAATTACGTCGGGTTTTTACGTCAAATTATTTCTGAATTTCACGTTTGAGCTAATAATATTTCTTGAATTTTAGGTGAATGAAAACAAGGTCTTCTGGGGCTGAAGACTTTGAATATTATCCGGAGATTACGACGGGACACCCCGAGCTAAGGAAGAAGGCTCAACAAGAGAAAGAGGCGATTTTTGGCAAGGGTATCCAGTTCGAAATCGAAAGCGAGGACGTAGAGGAAGAAAGTGGGAGTGATCAGAGCCAAGAAGACACTCATATAATCATCGAGAACGCACTAATGGCGAACGAGGAGCGTACCTTGAGGCAACTTGCTGATGCCGTACTTCCAAACCAACCTCTTTGCATAACTTTCCCGGAGATGAATAATACCACGTTCGAGTTGAAGTCCGGGCTGATACATTTGCTGCCATCATTCCATGGTCTCGCCGGTGAGGACCCAAACAAACATCTGAAGGAGTTTCACACGGTGTGCTCCAGCATGAAACCCACCGAGGTGACTGAGGAGCAAGTCAAGCTACGTGCTTTTCCATTTTCGCTTAAGGATGGTGCAAAGGATTTGCTCTATTACTTACCTTCGGGATCGATCACTACATGGACACAATTGGAGAAGATCTTTCTCCAGAGGTACTTTCCGGCGATACGAGTCGCCGCTCTACGCAAAGAAATTTGTGGGGTGCGACGGATGCAAGGGGAGACATTGTATGAGTATTGGGAACGGTTTAAGAGGCTAGTCGCGAGTTGTCCACGGTATCAGATGGCCGACCAGCTATTGATCTAATACTTTTATGAGGGCCTTTTACTCATGGAGAGGAATATGTTAGATGCGGCTAGTGGTGGTGCACTTATGGACAAAACTCCTACGGCGGCAAGAGAGTTGATTGCCAACATGGCAGCTAATTCTCAACAGTTTGGTACTCGTGGTATCTTGCAGAAGCCAGCTCAAGAAGAAGGGACCAAATCGTTACAAGCACAAATCAAGGAGTTAACTTCCGTGGTTCGCCAGTTGGCTGTGGGTCAAGCATCGAGGGTCCGACCATGTGGCCTATGCGAGACGGTGGATCACACTACCGAGGATTTTCCATGGACAGTGAACACGACAGAGGCCCATGCCAATGCAGTTGGGGCGAATAATGGTATCGGATGCAACTATGACCCATTCTCGAATACTTATAATTCGGGGTAGCGAGATCACCCGCATTTGAGGAGGGGAAACAATAGCAGCAACCAGTTTGGGGAGATAGACCGAAGGCAACCCCAAAACTTTCAAATGGGACATGGCTTTCAAAGGTACCAAGGCACGGGAGAGCACAACACCCACCCTCCACCGAACGAATCATCTTCGGAGATGAAGAAGCTGATGGAGAGCATGGC